TCCCCCTAGTCCGAATTGGACAAGGAGGGAGGGGCGGCGCCCCCCTCTTTCCTTCTCTTCCCCCACCTCTCCTAATTGGACAGGGAATAGGGAGGGGAGTCCTACTCCCGGTAGGAGTAGGACTCCTCCTGCGCGCCTCCATAGGGCCGGCCGCAACCCCCCCTTGGATCCTTTATATACGGAGGCAAGGGGGCACCCTAGGACACACAAGTTGATCCTCGTGATCGTTCCTTAGCCATGTGCGGTGCCCCCTTCCACCATATTCCACCTCGGTCATATCGTTGTAGTGCTTAGGCGAAGCCCTGCGTCGGTAGAACATCATCATCGTCACCACGCCGTTGTGCTGACGGAACTCATCCCCGAAGCTTTGCTGGATCGGATCCCGGGGAGCGTCATCGAGCTGTACGTGTGCTAAGAACTCGGAGGTGCCGGAGTAACTGTGCTTGGATCAGTCGGATCGGGAAGACGTACGACTACTTCCTCTACGTTGCGTCAACGCTTCCGCTTCGGTCTACGAGGGTACATAGACAACACTCTCCCCTCTCGTTGCTATGCATCACCATGATCTTGCGTGTGCGTAGGAATTTTTTTGAAATTACTACGTTCCCAACATCGTCGACGGCGGAGGACGGGGGCGTGCATGGCACGCCATCGTCTGAGAAAGGGAAGAGGGTTTCGTCGAACACCACGTGCCGGGAGACGATGACACGGCCAGTGCTGCGGTTTAAGCAGCGGTAGCCTTTATGCTCCAGAGAGTAACCGAGGAACACGCATGGATGAGAGCGTGGCATGAGCTTGTGAGTGCTGGTGGCGGTAAGGTTTGGGTAGCAGAGACAGCCGAACACCCGAACGGCGGAGTACGCGGGAAGCACGCCATAGAGCAGGTAGAAGGGTGTGTGGTTATGCCGTGCGCGGCAGGGGCGACGGTTTAAGAGAAAGGTGGCTGTGTTGAGGGCCTCGACCCAGAAGGTGTACGGCATAGACGCATGGACGAGGAGGGAGCGAATGATGTCGTTGAGTGTACGTAGTATACGTTCCGCTCGGCCATTCTGTGGCGAGGTGTATGGGCAAGATAGGCGGAGCTGAATGCCTTCGGAGGAAAAGAAGGCGCGGGATGCGTTGTTGTCAAACTCACGCCCATTATCTGTTTGCATAGTCAGGATGTTTAGGTGGAAATGGCATCGTACAAACGTGTGTAAGTGTTTGATGGTGAGCAGAACGTCAGATTTGTGTCGTAGGGGAAAGGTCCAGGCAAAGTGGCTGTAATCATGATGAGAAGCACAAGGTAATACTGATAGCCTGACATGCTGATTACAGGAGAAGTCCATACATCACAATGCACTAATTGAAATGGAAAGTACGAAACATGATCGGAGCTGCTAAACGGGAAACGAACGTGTTTTCCTAATTGACAAGCTTTACAGGAGGACGATGGAGCGCCATGAGCTGCGATGGCCGAGGAGCGAAGCAGATGGGCGAGGGAGTCGTGCCCCGGATGACCAAGCCGCTGGTGCCAGACGTCAGTGGTGACCGCGGTGAGAGCATGGTGCTGGGTGGGCTGGGACACGGGGTAGAACTCGTCGCCGGAGTCGTTACATCGGAGGATCACCCGCCTCATCCTTCGATCCTTGACAGAACAACCAAAATCGTCAAACTCGACGTTAACAGGGTTTTCACGAGCAAGTTTCTTGACAGATATGAGGTTTTTGATTAGGTGAGGGGAAACGAGAATGTCATTGAGAGCTAAGGGAGCTGTGGTGGTGGGAAGTGTGGCTTGGCTTGTGTGCGTAACTGCAAGCGAGGTTCCATCACCAACTAAAATGCCAGAGGAGGTGTAAGGGTGAGATGAGGAGAGCATACCAGAGGAGAAGGCCATGTGTGTGGATGCGCCCGAGTCCAGGTACCATTCGACGGATGGCGCGGGCGGCTGCTGTTGCTGGACGTGCAGGTTGTTGAGGGCATGCACCAGAGCGGACTGATCCCAAGCTGGGCTGGGCGCGGCCGCGCCGGGCCCGATCGGTGCACTGTATGGCGGGTGGACGGGGACAGGGATGGCGCCAGGGTGCCACTGTGACGGAGGGGCGCCAGCGGCAACGGGGTAGGGCGCGCCGTAGTGTGTGGCGGCACCGGTGAATGGCGCGGGCCCGCCTGGCCGCGGCCCAAGGACACCAGCGCCCGGTGCATGAGGACGCCACGACATCGGCCAGGCGTGCACCATGCCGGTCCAGGGCGTGGTGCTGACCGGTGCAGGCGGCGCGGGGCCGCGGATGCAGTGGCGGAGCCAGGATTCGAGTATAGGGGGGCCGAGTACTTATATTGATCGAATCTTGTTGATAAT